TCTAATGAGGCCAAAGTTGTGCCATGGCCGGCATGGCTGCAATGGCTGCAATGGCTCCACGTTCGAGAATCCTGTTGAATTGGTGACTGCCTTGCAGGTCATCTTTAGCGGTGCAGGAGGAGTGGCACCACAACTGCATACTGCCGCCAGGGCAGCAAGGAGTAAAGCAAACTGGGCAGTGCAGCGCTCGAGCTTTTGAGTGTCTTGCGGAATCTCAGGAAATGGACATCTCGCCAGGAGCGCCGACAACGGCAGGCGTGTTTCCCGAAAGCACCTCTCAACCATGAGGAGACCAATCACTTTTGACACAGCACAACAGCTCAACATGCCCAGGTATTGATATTCAAGTCTATTCCCAAATGGGGATGGCTCACCAATGGGTGAGGATTGGGAACCACAGCTTAAGCAGATTGTGAGGCCCATCAACGGCTTGAGAGGATGCTTCACAAGAAGCCAGATTGGCAGATGGGAGGCGCGGCCCTCAAACAACACCTCACAAGAAATCCACCATTGGGTGGCTGTGAGGAGCCTTAAAGAATCTTAAAGATGTTCAAAACATGGGAACAATACAGTAACTACTGTACAAGACAAGTGGGATGTTGATGGATGTTGTGCTTTTGGGCAAGAGGAGCCTTCTTCATTGCTTGATGGCTGCAGTTGCTGGAGCTGTGGGTCAGACACGAGTCGGTTTGGGATCGGAGGCTTAACACGGATAGCAACTTCAGATACGATCGCGACTCCTCCAGACCTCAGCGAGGTGCGGTAGACGGGTGAGAAGAGCTGGGGCGATAAGGGTCCTCAGAACCTGCTTGGACAGAGACCGGACACCTGACCAAAAGCGTTCTGGTGGAGCAAAAAGGAAGAACGAATCAAGATAATTTGTGAACACATTGTAGTTCACCTTGCATCCTTGAACATTTCAAGGTTTAGGGTTTAGGGTGCTTCTCCCTCCTCATGTATCATGCACTTGACCGTTCGCTTTCTTGCGTGCTGGGAGGTGGTGCAACTTACACCGACTCCGACCCCAAAGGCCGCATAACTGCAGTGCCGAGACAGGGAAGGTTTCTGCAAAGCACGTGAGGTCACATGATTCATATTGATTCATCGATAAGTGTACTAGTGTAGTATACAAAGAGCTCCCGAAAGAAAAGCAGGGGATGACAACGGGAAAGATTGTATTTGCCTTGTTTCATGTTCTTATTCTTTTTTGACCTCTTCATAACTTCTTATGCACGGCAACCAGGTGGCACCTGAAGCCACTTTGACCGAGAGGACCACCGAACACGACTTCCAGGCGTCAAAGGAGGCTGGAGGGCGGCAGACGACAAGAAAGCTGGTTTCTGGTTTCTGGAACGTGTAAAGCGAAGACAGGGAGGACAAGAGATCAGAAGCAGAGATGGCACTTTGCCACTTCTTGGCAGGATCTCATTTTCAATACAAGCCATCAAATTGAATCAGATATGTCCTGAGATGCTGGTGTGCTAGTGATGGCTGGAGGGGATTGTTCAGGCTCCGCTCGCAGTGGAAGACCGATGGGTTTGGTACCCAGCCCCTTGACTCAAATAGACGTTTGAGCGCACAAAAGCAGCCCTGGCCACAGCCACCGGAAAACTCTGGGCTAAGGCGGTAAACCCACCGAACTGGCGTAGAACTTGTGCCTTGGATGTGAGTGGTAATTAGTATGAATACAATTGAATACAAACTCTCTTCGCATAGAAGTGGCAGAGAATTAGGTAGATCCACTGCACTTCGTTGTGCTTTACAGTTTTGAAGCGATGCTGCACCATTCAGGGCATTCCCAGAGGTTAAACATGGTTCAACTACTTGCAGTTTTGCATTGAGGCTTCCTTCTTCTTGACGACTCGAGCCACTCCATTCTAGGACACATCTTCGCGCCGCTACGCGGTTGGGTCCGCCCGCACCGGGAGAAATGTCATAGAGACCGGGGCGCTTTGGCATACACCGTGTTACACGGCATCCCTGTGGTTTGGAAACCAACATCCATGAAGGGCTATCTGCTGAACCCAGCTACAGTCTTTCAACTATTTTGCTGTTTTCTTTGCTTTCCTAGTTTGCCGTGGTGCAGTATAGTTGTACTGGTGTCCCACCTTCCCGGCTCTACCTGGCTAATACGAAACCCTAGCCAGCTAGAGCCGTACCATGAAACCGCTGATGTTTGTATAATATGCTGGTTCTACCTGGCTACTTTTACTAAATCTTCAAAAACCCAACGTTTCTTATACTTTTTCAAGAACGCCTCAACAATGTGCGTGTCCCAAAACCTTCATCAGAATCAAATGCCGTTATTTACGACATTTTTTGCACTCGATTTTCAACAATCTTCAAACACTCAGGTATCTTTTCTGAATGTAGGCCCCCAGCTAAAGCTGAAATCTTGCGATTGACATCGATTGACTATGCCATCCTGATACGCACGCTTCGGCGTGGGCGGACTTTTCACGTTCTCAGGCTATTTAGAGTGGCAACCAAGCTTTGAGATCTTTGAGAGTGCACAGATGTATACAGATGTCATTTTGTGGTGAGTGTCTTCCGCTTGTGTGGAAAATTGTGAATGGTCAGAGAGTCACACGCGTCCAGGACGGATCATCTCCGGCTTTATGGTGGCCACAATCATGGTGAGCACAGTGTGAATCCTAACTGATTCTAGAATCCGGTGCTTTTTGCTTGTTCTGCGGGAAGAGGAGCCGGGCCATGGATGCCCCACCAAGGTCTCCTTTGTGATTGAGACTCTGCCGTTCTTCGACCGCAAATGTGAGAGGTTTGAATTTGACATACTATTCATCATTAAAATTGTGCACCGACCAACGCAAGCGGCACTGTTCAGGCGAAGTTGAGCAGTTTTTTTCGAGCATGTTTGAGGGGTGGCGTATAATTAGGACACATTCCAGACATCGGCCAGGGGGCTTTTTCTGTCACCTTCGTTCCCGGTTGCTCAACGGCAGTGACCAAGCCTGCTGGAGCCATTCCACGGCCCAGGTTTTTGCAAGAACGACCTACGCTTTGCCAAGAGTTGCTCAGTGCTGGTGAAGAGCTCACGGTGAAAGCCTGCGAGCCGGTACGGCGCTGAGCTGATCAGAAAAGAGTTGTTGAAGATCAGAGCGTATTGGGTGTTTCTTTTGAGTCCATGTATGTGTATATATATATATTACATATAGCTATATACTAGATTAACACACACATACATAATATTACATATATATATATATGTATACTAACACCCACAGAATCGATCAGTGCCATTGCGCCTTGAGTCATTATTTACTATTGCCACCCCATCAGTTTCCTTGGCTCCAATTTGGTTCCAGGACATTTCCAGCTTGCTGCTTACTTTTTGCAATTTTCACATTCGCCCTTCCCTTCCGGTCACTTTGTCCTCCCTCCCTTTCTTCCCTGGCTTTACTACTACTTCAGGATTGGTCTAGGGGGGCCAGTCTCATGTCGATGACCACTGGAATACATTTGCTACCCACCACTTCCCAGCGGACAGGGGTCCCACTTGTTCTCTCATTTCCCAGGAAATCTCTAGTTTGTTGCGTTCTTTTTGCAATTTCCTGAAGGGGTGGAGCCAAGCTGGAATTTCTACATAAAGCATCATAAAGGTCATTCAATGTGATTCATATTGTTTTGTTTCTGTCTCAGCAGCTCTTTTGCTTTAATTTGGCTTGTCATCCTTTGTGTTGTTGAAGCTCTTCGAGCAATGGATTTCAGCCATTCCCGTGTTGCACTGGCCTTTCACTTTCACAAGTAAAGACATTCTGCGCATGTTCATGTTTGTTCCCTTTTTGCTGGTGTTTGATGCTTGGCCCCCAGGAAAACAACTTTCAACCATCGCAGCGTTCATTTCCTGTTTTGTGGTGTCCTTTGGCTTTCTGAAGGACGGTCTTGAACCCTTAAAAATTGTTTTGTACACAACTGCCCTCATGGCCCTGTGCCTTTTGTGTCCCTTCCACAGATGTGTTCTTGAATGTGGGGGTCTTTTTCTTCCACATACTTGTTTTTTCAGAGCTTCTTGAATGCGAGTGTTTCCCGGATATTTAGGTGTATTGTGCAAAACAAGGTTGCCACAGACATTGAACGCCATTCATTCCATTGATGGTTGGAATAGTGGGGAAGAGGTGTGGAAGATTCTCCGAGCTGGTCAAGCGTGGCCTGCTCGTGTTCAGCCCAGGCACCATTGCTAATATTCTCTACCCTGGAGGCGATTTGCATTGAGCCTTGGCGCATACAATGGCAAAAGAAGGCAACCTGTTTAGTTCCAACCAGCTGGTGACGGGTGTAGCCGTTGAGGCCATTTTCACAGTTGAGTATTGTTTGCGACTAGCACTGTGCCACACTGATCCACGCTATGGGAGCAGCTTTCTTTCGCGAACGTTCCACTATGCTGCGACTTGGCAAGCACGGAAGTCAAGATGCAACAAGGATTTGCAGCCTCAACTTTATTGGCATGTTTTGCATTGTTCCCACAGATGAACATGCTCAGATTCAGCCTTTGAACGTCGTAGACGTCATTGCTGTCCTTCCATTCTACCTGAAGCTGGCGCTGGAATTCAGTGAAATCGGAGTCTTCGGCAGCTAGTTTGCAAGAAAGGAAGCCCCTAGGAGAGGCGCAGGAAAGACGCCAACAAATCCGAAAAGGTTCGTGGCACCGCACGTTATTCTTCACATGAATCTCATTTCCGAAGGGGCTTCCTTCTGCATCATATTTGCATGTGCAAACATTTGACACATTTTTCATTCTAAATCAATCCGGCTGAAAATCAAAGCCACCCTTCAGATTCAGAAATGGCAGCATCAGGCTGGCATGTTCAACTAGAGGCTAGAGGTCATTGGCTTGTTTGTAACTTTGCTCATTGTAAGGCATGCTGAGATTGATGCGAGTATGCCGATTGCTGAAGCTGGCGAAGCACCATCAAGGCAGATCTCTCATCACCATCCCACTTGCAATGAAAGAATTGAACCAGAATATGTTTCCTTACCAAGTGTTTTGAAACACTTGGTATGGTGCAGACTTCTCAGGCATCATGGTTTGCATTTGCCTCAGCTGTTTTCCTGCACAGTTGAAGAGGACCTAAGCTTTTGGGTTTCAATGCCAGATGACTTTATCAACTGAGGGTTGCGCAAGCTACTAAGGTTGGGAGGCACTTGTAAACAGCGGCATAACCCTGGCATTGCTCTTCTTCTATGAGGTTCTATTTGGCAACCTGGCCCATGTATCATTTTGTCACATGCCAAAACCCTGCTAGGCCGCACTCGAACAAAATGCAAGCGCCCACGCTGGCGTTGGTACGGGCATGTACTGGCTGCCATGGTTTGATGCAGAGCCCATCTTATGCATTTTCCTGCACACCAAGGTATAATTTTTGCCACTATTTTGCACACTCTGGAAGGCAAGGCTTTCTCTCTTCGGTGTCGCTAAATATTTGCGGCCGCTGTGACAGCAGTTGAAACCTGTGAAGGCAGCAAATACTCCATAGCTGAAGAATTCACTGAGCCGTACATGGACTTGGTGACCGGTCTCGAGCTCAAAGGTGAATTCACTGCATGAAGAGGCGTTGGGAGATGGACTCAGATGGTGTTGAGGCAAAAATATGCCGCCAAGATACCCCACAGGCAGAGTGGAGTTCGACAGCGGCTTCGATCCTCCTCACATTAACTGTAATTGCTTGCGGTCACGTGATGTGCTATTGAAATCACTGTATATAGGTAAGTGTTCAATCTACGCAAAAGCTAGCCCGTGCATCTCTGCATGACTCAGAAGCCAAGACTTGCGAGCAATTCCTTCACACGGCGCGCAAAAGCGACAAAGGTATCAGACATGTCAAAACGATACTTTGCATGTGCAGTTGTTTATCTATTGAAGGTCAGTTCCACGACATTTCCACATGATCCAGAAAGCAGCAACGCAGGTGTGTTTGTGCGACGGAATTTGTGGGACACTGGAGATGAGCCGACTCCTTTCTACTCGATCCCAGCAGCTCTATGGCCCCTTTTCGGCATCTTATTCCGAATAATCAGGATGTCAAGGACAGCTCAACAAGAAAGCAGAATTGCACGGCAATGTGCAATTCCAATATTAAAATCTAGAATCTATATCTATACATTCTCATATTGTACCAAGGTGGGTGTTCACAACCACAACAACTGTTGGCTATGGTGACTTTGCACCAACAACCACCATGGGTCAATGCCTGGGCCCCTTGGCCTAGCAAGCAGCTTGGATAGCTTGGGGCTTGGGGAGCCTTTCCTGGACTTTGGCAATTCACAGCCCTGGCGAAGGTGTTCTTGTTTTCTACTTTGGCATCATCCTTTTGGCCTTGCCCATAGGCAGCCCATGATCATCAAAGCAACGAAAAGCTGAGACTTCCCAAAAGTTGCAGTTGCTTGGCCCGTGGCCTGGATGGTCCTTACTGATCCTGAATGGGAGGCGTTGTGAGCCAAAACTTTGAGTGCGCATATGAGAGAGCCCACCAGGCAGGGTCGGCAGGAATACATGTGTACTGTATATATGATTGATGCATAGCCAACTGCATAAAACAAATATCAAAAAGGAAGGTAAGGCCCATCCTCACCTTCCTATTCTCATCTCCCTGTTCCTTGTTTTATTACATACCTCATGTTATGCTGGTATACGGGCTGAGTGACTTCACTGGGCTCGTGTTTTGACTTCCTTGACGGCACCCTTGTCACAGGGCACACGCCGGAGACGAATGACATCCCTCATTTCCGCAAAGACTCGGACAATGATGTCTGACGCGAGACTCAGCTCAACGTGCGCGAAAGCTGCAATGCTCGGCAGTCGACAGCTGTTTGAAGAACCGCCGTGCTGAGGCGCCATGGACATGTGCTGACCAACCGCCCAGTTGCACCTCACCTGGCTCCGGAGCAGAAGGGAGGAATAAGACACGCGACCGCATTGAGCACGTTTCCAAAGGTCACCAGGTCACCATGAAATGGCAATGACTGGTCAATGAATATCAATGACCACATTTGTGTCCCTCTTATGGACTTTGGCGGTGGCGCGTGAGGCAGATGGATATTCACAGCCACTTAGTGAGCAGTACAGACCATGCCAACGCCCAATTGCAGTTGGCGAAAGTCAATGGAGGGCCAGCATGAGTCGATTCGGCCAACAAGAACTGGTTTACACTTTGCACACCTGAACATTCGGCCTCACGTGGCTCAGGGCTTTGTGCCTTCAAAGTTGAGTTTCTTCTACTAGCAGCGATGCCCTTTGCTCCTAGTAACTCCCTTTTGCTCCTAATGGTGATGAGGGACCGGTGTTTTGGGGGTGAGAATTTGCAAGCACAAGAGGCTAGCGATGTCACGGTCAGCATGTATTTGACCAGATGAGCCCAGGTGATGAATGATCCAAACTCCAGCATCATTGCCATGGGTTTATCCTACATCAGCTTCGGTTTGATCATCGTGACAACCTTCTCCCTGATTTTGGAGCCTTTGCTGCAGCCACATTGACCTTGCTGCTACGCTACATGCATTCTCCAATTGTGCCTTTGTAACAATTTGGATGGAGCGAAAGTCCTTCTGCGCATCCGTGACACGAGGGAACCAAGGAGTCTATGCCGGTGTTCAACTACACTCCAGCTGGGTGTGGAGCGGTTGAGCTGAGCACCTGGGGTAGCAAGTGCATGTTCTCCTTTGTGCCCAATGCAAGCTGTCTAGTCTAGAAGGCATGTCAGGTGGAGGGCCGATAGAAGGCGTTTGTGTGTGTAGTGGCGGTCAAAGGAGTTCGCAGCTGGTGATTTGAGGTGTTGAGCTTTGTAAGCCAGAGCCAGACCCTGCCTTTGAAGTAATAGAAGTCACAGGAAGCATGGCAGCATCGAAGAAGAATGGAAGTGGAGGCAAATTGACTGGGATGATGTTTTCTGTTGCTGACACCAAGGAAGTGTTTTCTTCACCGTTGAATATGCTCCTCGCCTGCTATTCGAAAGCCTTTTGCCCTGATCCAGCCCACTTGACCTCCTGAGATGCTTGAGCATGGGCTGTTGGTTTGACCCTGCTCATTACAAGGTACATTTGTACTGTATGCAGATGCCCATGCTAAGTATGAGAGAGAGAGATAACATATACCGTAGTAGTTCGACATTTACATGACACTTTACAAATGATCGAGCCAAGAAGAGCCCCCGTCAAGATTCTAAGAAATGCATAGAAATTGATGTTTATTCAAGAAACTGCTGGAGCAGTTGCAGTTAGACACATTGATTAATGCTTTGAGAAGATCATGGCATGCGCCCATGGACAAATTGTAGCTGCATCCAAGGCGCTGCGAATCATTTTTGCACATTCTGCGTCAGAAGAAGAGCTGGGATTGACTGTAGCTCCTTGCGTGGCACAGATGAAAGATGAAACGGAAGGAACACCTGCTTTGATCACAGAAGTCTGGAAGCTAAACCATTCAAAGCGGGAGTGCTGATCGCGCTGTGGCCCAAGGTGGCGGACGCCAAGCCATTGCCGGGCTGGAAGAAGACTTTGAGGTGGGCCCATTGTGTTGGTAACATTAAGGATCATTGAAGAGGCATTTGATCATTGGCAAAGTGTAATGAGAACTTAACATACAATGTTCGCTACTAGGAACAAGTGCATCGCTACTAGTAACAAGTGCCTTACTAGTAGTAACAAGTGCCTTACTAGTAGTAACAAGTGCCCTACTAGTAGTAACAATGTTTGCAATTATATAGAAACTGAACATCATTATACTTGGTCGATTGGACTGGGACCCGGGAGAAGCGATCCAAGTGAACACTGCCGACGAGTCGACGCGTCAGGTACGCTTTGCAGCCATTGAATGTCATTGACATTATGGCGATAGCTGCTTGGCTGAAAGGATGAGACGATGTTTTCATATTCATTCATTGGTGTTCCTGAGCAATGCATATCCCAGGTGCCGTTCTACCTCGAGTTCATTGGCCTTGGAGGCAGCAAACCTCCCTGCCAGAAACAAATTCCCTTTCATCCTGTTGATGTTGAGAAGATAGAGTAGCCGCGGCATTCTGCCTTGTCCTTATTGAAACGACAGGTAGTGGCGCAGCTGTGCTGCGGGTGTTACGGCTGGTTCGCATCTTCCGCGTGCTGCCGCTCGGATCAAGTTGCTTGAGGTCATGTAGTTGGTTTGGCCAATGACATCGCTGAAGCATAGGTGACCATCACCTACTCAGGAAAGAACAGTAATCACTCGACTAGGGTGCTTCGGTGAGAGAAACGATTGAAACATGGCAAGTTAAAGCAGCTCAGGAAATCACCAAAGATGCGTGCATGAGACTTGCTCCAATTATTGCCTTTCATGGGTTCAGCGCTCTTGTTCTTCTCATGCAGTTTTGGTCGCGCTTGCGCCCAAGGTGTCGACATGATTCTTTGCATTGTGCCCTGCTTCAATCACTGGAGTTGTCACAGCCCGTTTTTCGTTTTTCAGCCATGTCATCGGTCAAGATGACTTAAGGTCTTGGAGGCCCTCCCGGGGATCGTCTCAGTCTTCTCGCTGACTTGCCCCTTGACCCCAACTCCCATCTGAGAGAACTGAAGCACTAGTCACTGGACTCACTAGATCATTCACTCGCTGTGAAAGACTTACTGTCGCCAAGGCTTGGTTTGCATCATGTTTGCTGCTTGCATGTTCTTCGCAGAAGGTGGGCTGCCGATGACGTGTCCTTGTCTACTTGCATACATTCTCACCGTTGTGTAAGGGATTGGCAACACATACTTTGGCAGCACCGCCTCCAAAAATCTAGCAGCAACACCACTGCAGGGACCACGTACTCTGTTGATCCCAGCATGGTGGATTTGACGACGTACCCGATGGGCACGTCACTCTGCTGCAGAAAGACCAGAGACGGAAGTTAAGACCCTCAGCGAGACCGATTTGATGGCTCCATCATGGCGAGGTACATTCGGCCAACAAAAGATGGAAATGATTGGGAGCCAACACCTTTCCTGTCCATTATGCACACTTTTTGGTGGCTCCTTGTCTCATAATTATTGCATATCTTGTCATTCCTTTTTTTCCAGCAGCTGGCGTGCGCGTATTCAATCCGAGACTGAACTGGACATTGACTTAGGTTCTTCACAACTGCCACAACTGTGGGCTATGGCGACTATGTCCCAACGACGACGGCCGGAAAACTTGTGGCAGTATTTACCTTTTACCTTGGCATAGCGACTTGGTTATCAGATTGCCTGTGGGGGGCAGGTGCAGCGATGTGGTGTAGGATGAACGAAAGACTTCAATGCGTGCTATGTCGTCGCCAGCGTTTGCAAAGATGTGCCGCCAAGCAGAAATGGCATCCAAATCATACCTATATTTATACTGAACATATAAACAAGTTAACGGTTAACGTAAATACGGAATATACACATGTTCAGAACGCAAAGTCCGGAGGGGTGCATGATGCAGTGATGCCTCTTCTTCCTTTACTGGGTGACTTGCTCATGTCTTGGGCGGGGCAGACAACACAGCGGGCTGCTACGTGTTCGCTCGATCATGCCCAATGACGCTAGTGACCTTTCTTCCCTTCCTTTTTTTGAATCTTTGTTTCTACTAGCGATGGCCTCCAACCTAACGGCGATGGTAGCGATGGCCTCCAACCTAGTAGCGATGGCCTCCAACCTGATAGCGATGGCATCCAAGCTAATAGCGATGGCCTCCAACCCAGTAGCCATGGCCTCCCCTAATGTCGATGGTAGCTATGGCCTCCAACCTAGTAGCCATGGCCTCCCCTAACGGCGATGGTAACGATGGCCTCCAAGCGATGGCCTCCAACCTGATAGCGATAGCATCCAACCTAATAGCGATGGCCTCCAACCTAGTAGCGATGGCCTCCCCCTAATAGCGATGGCATCCAACCTTGTAGCGATGGCCTTCCTAGTAGCGATCGTCCTCAACCCAGTAGCGATGGCCTTCAACCTAGTCCTCCAACCTAGTAGCGATGGCCTCCAACCTAGTAGCGATGGCGATGCCTGTAGCGATGGCCTCAAACCTATTTGCGAGCCGCTAGTGGAAGTACAAATATATACCCCTTCCCAGACCACGAGTAGAGCGCTGGCAAAGCGAGGTTTTGGTGGCAATCAAGCTTACCATTGTGCAAGGGTCGTTTAGGAGGCACTACCCGCCCCTTGGCAACAAAAACTCTACTTCCTTGGAGTCACTTTTTGATGTGTGCTCTTGCTGGTGTGTGCAGACGAGACGCAGGCATTCGCCACAAGAGACCGTGGAACTAAGGGAATGGCAAAAATCTCACAGTATTTAACGTTGCGGCACTTCTTGGGGAAGACGGACATTCATTGCAATGCCCGGAGGCTTAGAGAGCCTTGGCAGCCGTGGTATGTATAGACACAAAAGCTCTTTGAATTGTTCTGAGGTCTGAAGGACGTGGCAGTCCGAAGGAATAGACATGTGCTCAGTGAGATGTGAAGAGATCTTTGGAAGTGCAGCAGCCAGCCTGGGCCTGGCTGCGCTCGCTTTTTGTTCAGGAAGCTTTTGTTCCTTTGGCTAGGGTTGCCGACATGTTCTGGCACGCTGTGCTGCCATACCCGGCCATGCCTTGTGATTGCTACTTACTTCAACAGCCACAAGGATAAATATTAAGCCGTAGGCCACAAGCATCCACAAGCCGTACAAGACATGGTACAATAATCATGAACTGCCTTGAGAATGGGCAGCAAGAATCCAGGGTGCTTTCAATTGCTTTCTTTTGCACGAGCAGGCATGAATAGACTGGGAAGCCCAAGGCTTTCCCAAAATTCAATACAGTTGACAGCCTGTTTTGCGGTCTCATTCAATGGACTTTGAGTTTGCACCGAGAATGCAATTCCCACTCAGGCATCTAGTGTTTGTTCAGGATAGTCTTCTCAAACTCTTTGTCACTCTTCTGTTCTGCTCCCAGGATGCAGGCCAGGCCCTCCAAAAGGAGGGTTTCCCGTTTGCATGAAAATGTCCAGGCATGTAAAAAGGGTGATTCGTCGGCAGAGCAATTTGTCACACCTCGAGCAAGTCAGCAAGTCATGCCGATGCCGTGTTTGTGTCATTTAGTTCGCCTATGTAAGAAGCACTTTTCCTCCAATGCCGCAGCCAATGCTTTGTGGTCTGAGTTCAACATTGGCGTATATTTTGTATAATTAGTTCTCCGCGAGGTGCTAGAAGTGCTACGGACCGCACGCTATCCTGCGCGATGCCTCAGACAAAGGCGATCAAATATTATTTGCTGGCGACGTCGTTAACGACCCCGCTGTTTTTGAGGGTTTGCACACGCTTTCGTGCGGTATTTGCTGCACTTTGTAGTTTTGTGTGGTATTTGATATGTGCAGCTATTCTTGACGTTTGTGTCCCTCATGCACATCATAGCATGTGGGGTGGGGTGGGGTTGGGATGTTAACGGCCTTTCTACGCTACGCACACAATACGATTGACTGAGAGTGAGTGGGATGGGGTGGGGTGGGGTGGGTGGGATGTTAATGTTCGGTTCAAATTGCACACCCGTGCAAAGGAAACTCTTCTGCACTCTGCGCACAAATATGTATACACGAAGCGTGCCGTGTTGCGCGCACATGTTTTCTTGCACACATGCGTGTTTCAAACCCGTCTGGATGTTTGTCATATCTATCCTTAGATTTTATAAGTCTTCTATGGCCATGCGTGGATAAACATGCAGCAAGGATAATCTGGGATCCCACATCATCAACGCCCATCCAGCGTGCCATTTCAAATCTTTTGGCCAATCCTTAACACGCCTCGCTGAGATGTGTTTTTTCGTCGTTGCTCCGGACACAGTTTTGTTGCTCGGATGGCGGATTTTTCCTTTGTTTCCGCTTTAGCTTTGGCTTTCGTTGTGTTGTTGAGGTTAGGACAGGGGTGGATCAGCTCCCCGAATCATTGCAACCATGGTTTGAGGTAGACCCGTGGTATCTTGATAGCTTGTTGAAAACCTGGAGTGAAAGTTCCACCGCTGACCCGCTGCTTCGTGAAGTGCTGGATATAGCTCTGCAACAATTTATATATATGTTGGTGACCATTTGTTTTTTCGGGCCGAAACATTTTACGCAATGGAATTCTTACAAAATTGTTCGTTCTCCTGCAAATTACAGTCGAAACGTAGTTCGCAAACCATTAATTAAACATCGTTTTCGTTGAGTTTTCATGTTTGGAATGCTAAAAGACAGCAGGGTCATTAAATGTGTGTGCACTGTAGGGTGAAAAATGGTGAAAAGATAGAATGAATCGAACTTCCAATTACCGACTAGTAGATGGATACTGCCTTCAAAGCGGCATAATTATCGGCATACACGTGTAGATTCTTTGGGGTGACACCGAATTCATCTTTTATTTCCTTGTCCAAGGCATTGCTAGAAGTCAAGTGGACGCTCACAGAGGCACGTCTTCTTTGTGGGGCGCGGTCGGAGCGAATGTGGCAATGGGGACCATATCTCAGCCATAACAGCAATTTCCAGTTTGGTGCGGATATGTGCGGATGATTGTGCCAGGCCGATGCTTACACGCTCTCCTCATCTTCCGATGCCGCGGAGGCTGGAACACAGATGGACTAGAACAGCAGTCCTCACGCTGATAAGCTCAGCTAGCAGCTGATGGAACTCAGGCCATCGCCAGCGGGCAAGCAATCCTGCGAGCTTCTGAGTGCACGACTCTTGCGTTGACATTGAGATACATAAGATACATACTGAAGACCAAGAGCCACTTTGACGGTGAAGTGCCAAGTTTGACGCCATAGTCAAGCCACAATGTACAAGGTACTGGTCTTCACCCAAGGTTTAAAGTTACTTAAGTTCCTCCAGAATCTAGGAACCAAATGAATAGTGCAGGGGCCTTTTCAAGGAAGCTCCCCGCGCCCTCACGCGGCAGCACCTTCCTTGAAGAAGCATGAATTTTCCTGCGTCCTGGGTAGTAGCTACTTAAGCTTACTAGCTTACTTAAGCCTACCGCGACCTACCCCCCCACCGGGGTCTAGAAAAAGTCTTAGTTTTATCAAAATCGAACATGACGTTGAAGTCTTCACCAATCGAATAGACTTGCAGGTCCTGTAGCTCGGCCCAGGAGGCTGAGACCTTGGTGGTCTTGGCCTCGAAGGACGATTTCGTGACTTCAATTTGCTCAGATTTCAAGTTCAATCGGTGGTTCAATCGCTGCCATACCAGACTCAGGCCCAGCTGTCCAACTGCTTTCCCAAGGGCATCGACGGGACCTTCCCTGTGCTACGGCCTTGGCATTGGCAGGTTGGGATAGATTGAGCTGAGATTTCGGCGCACAGGTCTGAAGGAGTGCTTCCATCCAACCAAGGCTCAAATCCAACCCTTGGTTTCTCCATTGTTCGCTGCTAGATTCGCTCGATTCGCCGCTTCCCCCCCGTCAGATGCTCTTTGCTCCCCATCGCCGCTGGCACCTCTAGAGCGCCCGTCGCAGGCACGGCAGCGGCGTAAGATGGTTTCGTGCAACAAACCTTGGTATAAGCATGAAATGATGCTATTTTGATCTATTTTGGAGAGGACATTATTTTGGGATCGCCCTGCTTGGCCTGTAGGCATGCGGACAGCATTGGCCTGAAACTCAAACGTTTGATGAGGTTGCTGGGCCAAAGTAGAACCTCGAAGCTGGCATGCTGTGCAGAAGTCTAGCTGATGACCAATTGTCCCTTGAACAGCGCAAGCCACGGGAGAGGTATCAAAAAAAACATAAATAGGGATCAATAAAAAAATAAATAGGGATCAATAACAAAACAAATAGGTATCAATAAAAAAATAAGTAGAGATCAAGACAACAACAAGCAGGGATAAAAAGAAGCAATAGAGAAGAGAGAAAGGAAAGAAAGAAAGAAAGAAAGACAGAACGACAGAAAGAAAGAAAGAAAGACAGAAAGAAAGAACGACAGAAAGAAAGAAAGAAAGACAGAAAGAAAGAAAGACAGAAAGAAATAAAGAAAGAAAGAAAGAAAGAGAGAAGGAAGGAGGGAAAGAAAGAAAGAAAGACACAAAGAAAGAGCGAAAGACACATTCGAAGGTAGCAGACCTTTTTGTGAGCCACCTGGAGGAGGGAAGCGGCCATTCCAAGGTAAGCCTTCCGAGGGCAAAACTTGGAGGAGGAAGGCGTCAGTCCTTTTGTGAGCCGCCCAAGAACCAAATTTAGAGGAGGAAGGAGCCACGCCAAGGTAGCGCGCCTGTGGCTCACAAAGGAGGCAGGCGCCAGAGCGGGCAAGGGAGTTATTTTTTGAGCGCGCGAGTGAGGTGTGTGCATTGGCGTCGTCATAATTCAGTAGGCGGCGCGTGCTGCCGAGATCGCTTACTCAAGTCAGCCAGTGAGTTGCAAGCCAACCCCGACAAAGACTGCTGAAAGTTAGAGAAACAAATATCAAGAACGCCCAGACACAACCAACTGCACACAGCAACATCCAAGCGCGGACCTGTCCTCCAAACTCCCACGAAAGCGGCATTTTTGTAAAGGTCCACCACGCTCTATTTTATTGCCCAGCGCCCTACTTCTCCTAATGCCCTTTGCTTGCTACGCCAGCTGATTCTCTTAAGTGTCAGTCGTGCTCCCGAAGTTATTTCGTCCAAAAAATTACTCGCTCACTCCGCCTTGCGGCCATTATATAGGTCTAAGATGCTGCAAATAGCTGCGCGTTGTGCCCCCTAGATATGGAAAAATAATGAAAACAATTGACAACGAATTAAAAGCCGCGCGCTTCGGTCGCCAGAAAGGAGAGATGCAGCCTTGGTCGCTTTTGTGCTTCTGGTTTTCCCAGGGTTACACCGGACATTATATCGGGTCGAAGAGGCTTGAAGACGTATTTTGCGCCCCGAAAGCTTCCTACATCCTTTGTTATCATAGAGACTTATGATGACCGTGCGTGGAAAAAGATCAGAATTCCTGCTCCGGTCACTGAGCCATTCCCATGTAAATATACCTTTTGTGAGCTTCCCGAGAACGAGCGACAAATTCAGCGGAGGAAGCAGCAAGTCCAGTGTAGCATAGTATCTTCTGTGAGGAACCCGATGCTACTACTGCTCCCACAACACGGCTACGACTACCACGACTACTACTACTACTACTGCTGCTGCCGCTGCTGCTACTACTACTGCTACTACCTACTACCTACTACCTCCTACCTGTTACCTACTACCTACTACCTACTACCTAGTACCTACTACTTACTACTAACTACTACTACTACTGCTACTACTACCACTACTACTACGACGACGACAACGACGACGGTCACTACTACTGTTGCCACTGCACACATTACTGTTCTTTCTTTGTTGATTCTTGTTTGTTTTGTTTTTGATCCTCGTCTGTCAATTGTTTTTGTTATTACGTCACCAGATTTTGTTTTTTTGTTGATCCTTATTAATTTTTCTTTTGATCTCATTGCTTTATTATTATTTTGATCCTTATTTATTTTTTTTGATCCTTCACCCGGCAAGCCACCTCGTCCCATTGACACACATTTGCATGCGGAGCAACATGAGCAAGATGCCTCACTTGCTGCACGCTGGACAGGAGATCAAAAGCTAGAGGTTTTTGAGAAGTGTCACCTTCCCTGGCACTGCAGCAGGTAGAGACTGGGAGCAGACAAGTGACGGGAAAATTCAGATCTATATATACACGAATGTCAAGCAATTCTTGCATCATCACCGCCGTTCGCGCAATGGAGCGCGCGTTGGGGAGCTGATTGGGAGATGGAATCCGAGTTGGCTACCCGTCAGCACTGTGCATGCAAGGAAGAGCTTTTGTGGGTGATAGATGCGCTATGGTTCTTGGCACTGTGCAGTTTAGAATCAAAGTTTCTCCACCCCCAGATGCCGAAAAAACTACCAGACTTTCAAACTCACACGAAACGCCATTGGAAGGCGATTTTGTTCAAGCAAACTGCATAAGTTGCAGGTAGCAGTAATTTACTGAATTTGTGTTCTTTCTGCACATCAAGTTTCTAGCACAAAAACGAGAGCTTCCCGTTTGAATACCTATGCAGCGTCCCCATCTCTTCACATTTGATCCATTCCAAGATATATTTTAAGTTCAAGCTGGCAGAGATCGGCCAGGTCACCATCATCGGCTTCGGCTCTTTGTTGAGCAAGAGGAGCGCTATGCTCACCACGCCCAGCATGCAGGCAGCTCGCTTGTCATGTGAAGGCAAAGACAGTGGAAGATGCAGCCTTTCTAAAGACAGTGGAAGATGCAGCCTTTCTAAAGACAGTGGAAGATGCAGCCTTTCTAAAGTTCAGGGGGATCATGTTGTTGTTGTTGTTGCTGCTGCGATCAGCTAGTTTCCGGTCCCAACGGATGCAATGTTGCCCACAAGAATGACAAGAACTGGACAGGGCTTCCAGTATGTGAGAGTGAAGGGCTATCAGCGACAATTTGCTCATCCCGCACCGATTTTCTTTGAGCGAGTCTTGACTGAGCTAGAGTGGACATGCAACGTGGGCAACATGCGACATGCGGGGCTCACCACATATGAGCACCGGACGAAATCTGTTATGGTTTGAAGGGTTGGCTGCAAAACAGGTCCACTTGTTACCCTCAGCAAACTTTGTTGGCGGCATCAAGCTTGCTACAGTTTGGCACACCAACAGTGAGGGCACGAACTAAGTAGTGGTCGTATAGGTCAGTGGGGGAGCTGCTTTTCCATGGACACAAACACGTTCAAAGTGGGCATGGGTTGGGGTGTTGGTTAGGCACTGAATGGTACTGCTGCGTTGAGAAGGCTATTCAGTGGTTGGAACATGTTGTAAATTTTTGCAAGTTTTGCAACACGTCTCTTTGAGCCACCGAACGGCAGGGCCACAAAAGGCCGGGCTACTCTCAACACCAGGTAGTGTGTGATGCAGCTCTTCTAAACTACACCCATCAGAGGCACTAACTACCTTTTGTTGGCAATGGTTTCAAATAAAAGCAAAACAAGGCCCCTGGTACGCAGCCAGGCCAGCAGCAACTCCATCATCCAGTTTCCATTGGGCAACAACAATTATTGAATTTAGCTGCAAAACAGGTCCACTGGTGTAAGCAACTCAATCTGAGGAGAGCAACCCGTTCAGTTTTTGTGCCAGCTACAAATTGTAACGTGGCAGTATGATCAGTATGCTTCCTTCAGTGGTTGGTACATCGAAAGGCATCGGTAGACGGGTCGGCCGCCATCGGTTACGCAGGTTTGATGCAGACTTTAGTGTTCGATAGATTTTGTCGGATGCTGATCTATGCTAATATAATAAGCAAGCAGTCAGCAACATCGTTGGTATTTATTTGCGGCTGGGGCCAAAATACCATGGCGCCCTCCTCCATAATAACCATAACTACCATGCATGTCGGTTTGTCATAGTTTTCCAATGGTGAGATACTTCGTTTACGATCGACATACTGTAGACACGCAGCTGGTGGACACTTTCTGATGGATTCAGGAGAAATATTATGGGGAAGTCTGAAATCCAATGAGCACAGATGTAGGATAATGTAGGACCAACTTGGCCATCTCCGAGGCGGGAAGTATCCTGGCATCGCCAAGCCTGAAACGAAGGCAAGTCCGTTCAAAAGCGCAGTGCACGTCAGTGCACTGTCCTTTGGCCTTTGGTGATGCTTTGCTTTCTTCATCTGCATGCATGTCTCGACATCGTGACTTGAGCAACTAGATGCCCAAGAGGGCCTAGATTCTAGATCCTTCAGACACTTTGGACCATACGAGGAGATCGCCTCGCTCTCCACAAGGCAGAGCACTGAGAGCTCCTTCGTGGCCTGTGCATACCAGAAGCTTGGCAGCTATGATTGCTGGATTGTTTGGGGATTGTTTGTCGGCAGACAGCTGAGCCACTCCGTTGGCGTACGTTGGCGTTCACTTCAAGTTGTAGGAGGCTGGGGCTTATCTCTCTCTCACACACACTCACGCGTATAATATACTGTTTGAACAATAGTTATTATACTGTATACAATTATACCGTATAATATCGTTTATAATATATTTTGGTTCGTCCTATTACCTGTAACAGGCAGTAACAATTATAACTATTTTTGAACAAGGCCTTTACTAACCATCATCAGCCACTGTTGCTGGGAATGGGATAGGCCCAATAGATAGATAGATAGATAGATACATAGATAGATACATAGATAGATAGATACATAGTATATACATACGTGTGACTAAGGTGTGGTAAAATCTCGTAAGATCAGAATTGGATCAGCTTTGCCACTCACCATCAGCAACCAAACCAAGGATTCCCAAGTCGGAGTGGGAGCCCCTGGCAAGTCGTGAGGAGGAGTTTGAGCCCGAGTCCCAGTGCCCTACTTGAAGTTTTTTAATGAATGTTGTACCATGCTCCATGACTTTCTTCATTGAACACGCAGAAGCCGTGGCCAATGTTTCCCTTGTGGTGAATGGATGCCCCGACGACTCGTCCAGACGGCAGGTTCATTGAGGCTGCTTTCGAGCCTTTGGAAGAGGGGGCACCAAGTCTTGGAAGGCAGGACGACTTGCACATGAAGCTACTAGTAACAAAGGGCATCGCTGGTAGGAGCAAGGACGCTACTAGTAGCTCCTGGCCTTACTACTAGGAACAAGAAGCTACGAACGGAGCAAAGGATTTGCCAATGGTCGTCGTTGGTCGTTCCTTGTCCCCTGGACTCGACTAGACGCTGTCAGGAATGTCGGGCTCATGTGCACCAGATCAACGGATGAGAAGTTGAAGACTCTGCCAATCTGGCAGCGCTACGTGCCTTGCAATGAATCGCTGCAGCTGTAAAGACTGATGGAGCTTAAAGGCTTAGCGTTTGCCTGAGGAAAAGTGCTTGAAGCCCTTCAGCGAGGTTAAGGTCTGGAGTTGGGAGCCGGACTCTGGAATTCGTCCATGTCCAGTGCCACTTTGTCAAACATGGATCAACGTGTGACACCTTGAAATGGTGTGATAGCACCTGCCATAAGCATTCTTATCAATCCTTACGATTCAATTCAACTTCACGTTTTGGTTTATTGTGATTTTTTACCCAGGTATTGCCGACATTGTGTCCTGGCAACACAGAAAGAAGGACCTGCATCCCACACGTCTCTCACATGCGGTTCCAAGGTCCAACTATAGGCGTGCTATTTATCGACGTGCTAGGCATGCTTCTATCTTTAGAGCAAGCCTCTTATTTGCAGGCTGCGAGGAAACGTTTCATAACAAAGTTTAGGCTTCAGCAGAACTAAAGCAGAAGCCATCCTTTTCCCACAATCATCCGATATATATATATACACACTATATTATCCTCTTTGCCATGATTGCTTTGTTTGTTTTCATTTTTTGTTCTTGACCGAGCGACCGTGAGGAGTTCCAGACTACGTGTCCAACAGCTTTTTGGATGAGACCTTCCTGGTGGATGGGAGCCCTGGACAGAACAATACCTCATGGTTCCGGAACCTGACAGGCTTTTCACAGAACAGGCACATTCTCGTGAGGACAGACACGCCAAAAATTCCTGTATCCATGTGACCGGATCTTTGGGATGCTGAACGGGTCCCAAAGTAGCAGGGGGGAAGTGGATTTGGGTTGCCCGGTGCGCTTTGAAACCAAGACGCATCCCTAGAGGCTTTAGGATCAGCCAGGGCCCGTCAGACGACCCTGTCGGGACCTGTCAGGAAGACTACGCTTCGAGAATACTTGGAGAAGAACCCTCACGTCATGGCAAGTGAGCCCCCGGAGGAGTTGCTTGAATATATTATATAAGTACTACTACTACTATGGAGAATCTATTGCCTTTGCTGCAGTGCTTTTCGAGACACATGGAGTCACTTCAGCTTGGATGAATCTTGGAGACTTGAAAAACAATTCGTTTCCATGAATGTGGAGGTCGTTGCTGGGGCTGAGGTTTCGGGAAAGATACAGCGGATGACTGCCATGACTTCTATGACCCGCCAGCAGAAAATCCTGCTACCAGATGCTACCGGCCACCCAAAGCATTCGCAAATATCTCAAGTGATGGACAATAATAAGTGCACTGACCGAGCTTTGGCGGTCAATTTCGCCAATCTGTCGAAGCCTTTCTTCATCCGCAGGTTTTAAGCTTCGAGACCCCCAGCCCTTTTGAAATCATGGCGCTTAGGTTGAGCGGTCTTCGTGCTGCACGCAGGCTGAGGAGTTTGCATTTTGTACCTGGTGGATCCCAGAAGTTTCTTGACAAGGCACTGGCGTCACGTGCTGATGCCTTGATCATTGACTTGGAGGATTCTGTCCTGCCCGCTGAGAAACCTGCAGCACGGGCAGATGTCGCCAGGTGGATGAGCTCCATCCAATGGGGCCAGAAGACAGTGTGTGTACGGATCAATCCGTTGGATACGTCGCTTTGGGAGGAAGACGTGGAACTCACCATGAAGGCTGAGAAGCCTGACATGTTGGTGGTCCCCAAAGTTTCTAGCCGTGACGAGCTGGAGAAGTTGGGCGAGAAACTCACGGAAATGGAGCGGAAGTTGGGTAGAGAACTTGGGCGAACCACTTTGTCACTTTGCAGTGTGAACATGTCGTTTTTCACCTCTGAGAAGATTTGTGCAAAGACACACTCAAGAAATTGTGGCAGTCTTTTCAATCTGATAGGAGGGACTACCCAGTACCAACTCCTTCCCCAGCTTTGTCTTCGGACAGTGAAAACTGATATAGGCTACTCATGAAGATGTAAATGTCATCGATCAATCCTGAAGCTTTCTTTGCACGTCGTACGCGGTACTTTCTGATTTGATGTCATCACAGCCACACTGTGTCTTTTTTTGATGTGAGGAAGCATTGACTTGGGGAAAGGGAACACATGGGAAAAACTCACGGTCACCTGCATCGAGGTTGCCCATCGTCAGTGAGGTGCCCGAGGCACCCTTGCGTGCGAATGAGATAGCTCGACACCCACGGGTTGAAGCGATCACCTGGGGTGCTGAAGACCTCTCAGCTGAGCTGGGCGCCAAGCGGCGTAGAGATGGGGCAGGGGAATACTTGGAGGCGGACTTTGAGTTTGGACGTAGGGGATGTTCACATTGTGCCAATCCACATGTAGAGAGCAATGAGCATACCTAAATACAGAGCTTGGTGGCAGTTTGGGAATATACTATATATGTTGGAAGGATATAGTCGTAGTATAGCATAGGAGAGGTGTTCCTCAACTGCAAACGGGACATGTTTCTTCCTCACGTGCAGGTCTTTCAGCTTTGCCGCAGCCTCACGCTGTTGGCCGCGAAAGGCGCTAAGGTGCAAGCGATTGATGGTGTGTATACCAGCCTCAAGGATCTTGATGGTTTGAGGCTGGCCTTTGGTGGGAGGGGAAATGATGCAGTCAGCGTGCTTTGAATCTTGCGAAGCCGCTGTTGGGTCGCGCAGGGCAGAGAGTCAGAGGTCCGCTGACACTGGCTTTGACGGCAAGCTCACAATACATCCAGACCAAATTGATGTGGTGAATGCCGCCTTCTCACCGACTAGCAAGGAGGTTGCAGAAGCACAGGAGCTCCTAGAAGCTGCCAAGGCGCAGCCAGGAGCTTTCCGGTTCAAGGGGCAGATGGTCACCCGGTGCCATTAGCTTTTTGCATTGAACATCATCGAACTTTCCGAAACTCGCATAAAGCATTATTAAACTGCTAATGCAATTCTGCTGCAATCCTTTGAAATTGCACACCCAGGTCGACATCCCCCACTTCAAGCAAGCCCAGCGCATTTTAGACCGGGCCGACTTGGCTGGACCATCAGCCCCCGCAAAGGAAGCACCGGTCGGGCCGATTCACGGGAAGTGGCTTGAGGAGTTGACAGAAGGCTTGGTGATTCCTCATGCGCTCACTCGCACTGTCACCGAAACGGACAATGTGATGTTTACCACGATGACGCTGAATCCTGCAAAGCTTCATTTGGACTACGAGTCTGCTAAGGAAACTCAGTTTGGAAAGCCCTTGGTCAACAGCATGTTCACAGTGGCCTTGTTGGTAGGCATGTCTGTGCTGGAGACGACACACGGCACAACGATTGCCAACCTGGGCTTTGAAGAGGTTCTCTTTCCCCGACCAGTCTTCTTTGGCGACACTTTGCGAGCCGAAACCCAGGTGATCAAAAACCGCCCCAGTGAATCCAATCCCTCTCGAGGAATTGTAACTTTTGAACACCGAGCCTTCAATCAGCAAGGCCAGCTCGTTTGCAAAGCCAGGCGTAACGCCATGATGCGAAAGCGGCCATCCAATCTTTAAAGGCTGAAGTTTCAGCTTTGGCTGCGCATCACGTCGACCTCAGTGGTCTTCATGTAAGACATCAGTTATCATCAGTTAGTCTCCGGAAAGAACACGGAGAGAAATGAGAGAGAGAGAGAGGCGATGTGGGTGATTCTTCATTTGTGCCTGTGCAAGCTTTGACTGGATCATCAACATGTGGAGTTTGGAGTTTCTGGATGCAGTCAATGCAACTGCCCGGCCCCGGCCTCACAACACAAGGCAGCCTCCAGAGACGGCAGAGTCTGTGGACCTCTCCAGGTTCGCCCAAAAATGTTTTTCACATCAGCCAAACAATACCTGGACCTAGTCTTTAAGGTTTTGACCTTCCTGAAGTGAGAAGTCATCAACTCGTTTCTGGCCTCACTTCTTTGGGGCACTTGTGGAGCCTGCCAGGCGCTCCTTGTCTCCGGGCACGCGGACCTTGAAAAAGCGTAACAGTCGCCTTGGCGAAGGCGATGGGCTGAACTAAAAGAGGTAGTTCCTGATGATTTTCGCTGCGTGTGTTGTTTCTGCAGGACATCACACCAAGGCTACAGAGTGACTTTCACGCATGGATTTGCCGTGATTTAGTTTGTTTGACTTCCAGCTTCGGAGAGCTTCGAGTTGATTCGCAGCTCATGTTTCACTCTGAGGAAGTCCAACCGGCTCTGGGCCGATCGGTCGGAGGCCAGTTCTCATAGAAGCTTGATGGTGAAACATGGTCAAACCCGGTGTGGCTTAAGGCGCAAGCCACCAAAAGTAAACAGAATGTTGTTTTGTCATGTTTTGTCATGATTTCCGTCTTTGTTGGAGTGGAAGGCGCCAAGACCCAAACTCGCAGAATGGGCGAGAGTGTTGGCGACCTAGCCATGACGCTGAAAACTGGTGACACCTGGAACATCCTAACAAAGTGGAGAGCAATGAGAGATCAATTTACTTAGCCAACCTACTAAATGAATTTTCTTTTATTTCACATTCAATATCCACAATACCGTAACATAATAGCAATGAAACTGTTTTGATCCATTTGGGGTACCGCAATCCCGATTGGGAACTAAGGCAAGCAAATCTCAAACCCAAAGCGACCTGTGCACCAGCTGCTAGACACCCAGCACTCCCAGCACTCCTGGATCAAAATGTTGGTTTAAGCGGTTGCAGCACGCAAAACAGTGAGGCGCGAAGGTGGGGGTCAGATCGAAGCCCTTCTCCTTCGGCTGCCTCTACAGGCATGGAATTTCCGCAATGGCTAATGTGCAAGGTGAATGTGCAGAGCACAATGAGAAAGATGGGACTGCGCTGAGGCCCCTCCACTGCCCATTCGCTCCTGTCTCCTGGTTACCTTGATCGGATGAGAGAAAAAAGTGCAAGTGCAAGGTGAGGAAATCGTGTCGCTATGCCTTTCCTCCAGCGATTCTTTCAAAGGCAGGCTTGCCCAACATCACCTGCTCAAAATCCACGGACTCGGGCGTCACGAGATGTGGCCATTCAGGACAGCTTTAGCATGCTTTGGCTTTTGTAAATGTTGCGCCCCATCCACCTGCTGACTGATGACTTATTCTGGCCCTGTCAGCCCATTGCCCGTGCAGGCCCAGAGTTGTATCAGCACCATGGCTAGCTGGGGATTGCAACTCAGAAGTTTGGACATCCAGATTCGGCAGATAAGCCCAGGTGACACCGAGATAAGTCGATTGGATACGCCCAGGTGACACGGAGGTGGGAAGATCTGAGACTTGCGTCTTTACAGCGCCGAGTCTGCCTCTTGGCGTGGTAATGCAATGCATTGCACTGCTGTGCATGTTCAACCGTTAATAGCGATATGATACAAATAGCAGTGAGCCAAGGAACGTTCCCCAGATGAGAGGTCCTCCATCCAATACTGACAGTGCGGGCATCAAGCTTGGGAGGCCTGATTCTTTTTTTACTGTATTTCTTACGTGCAGGTAAAAGAAAATAAAAGAAAACAATTTTGATTGTTTTGATATTAAATTGTTTTATATTCAAATTTGATTAAAATTGATGTCAAGCCAAATTGTCATTAATGTTGATTGTGTCGTGAAGGTTACGCGGTGCTCAGACTCAACGGCCATCGCGCGACTCGGAAGCTCCCGAGAGCCCCAGTTGGTGGCCATCACCCGGGATGCGGCTGGCGTCACCGGTGAGATCGCAAACAAAGAGTGACGACATCTCTCCGGAGCGTTCACCAGCCCTGGCCCTGTCCAGAGCCAAAGGAGCTTTGGGAAAGAGGCAGCTTCAGGCGAGAGCTTCAGGCGCATCCACCTCGGACATCGCGTCGAGGCTTCGGCATAGTGAGCCAGTGGTTCGTCAGGCAGCAGTAGCAGCACTGGGTGCTCTGGGAGATGTGGAGCAGGCTGGTCAATTAGCTAAGCTGCTGCAGGACAGCGATGCAGGTGTTCGGAAGGCAGCGGCTCTCGCATTAGGTAATTTGGGGCAGTCAGCAGCGGTCTACACAGATGCACCTTGCTCATCCTTTCTCCAAGATTTATGATCGATCGGCTTTCTACTTGTTATTTATTGGTTGGAACACGGAGACATAATTGTCAAGGTTTGAAGCAGGGATGGCAGTGATGAGTACCAAAGGGTCTAGAGTAGACACAGCTTTGCAACATGTTTAGCAAACCGATCTACAAAGTACAAATTAAATGCTGGACGCACACTTCATGGTTGATGCGCAATTGCAGCACCAAGATCAATTAAAATGACATTAATGAATTAGTGTGTCCTCAGTGGGCGCACATATCTCCCCCAGCATCTCCTCCCACTTATATACTGGTTGTGCGTTCTTAACGTTTGTTTCAAATCTTTGATGGGCATGATCCAGTATCAACATACCACAAGACCTATTTGTGACATCATCCTAGGCATTGCTTTCAGCTTCTCAGCATGACTATGATGATGATGTTCGCTTCCATGCGGCTGTAGCATTGGGAATGCTGAAAACGGCTTTGCATCACTCCTACGGCTAGGTCACCGCGGACGTGTAACTGTAACTTTGAAGAGGCGGCGGCGGAACCTCGAAAAGGGGACTTGAGACGCCTCTTGTAGATGTTCTCTCAATGTAGAACAAGTTAATGACCAAGTCAACGTATCCCAACGTCGGCTGGCCAGAGTGTGGCCAACATGTTTCACCAAGACATATTGCTTGCAGCTGCAGCTGTGCAACAGCCATGCAGAAAGCTGAGTCACTCATATTTTTCAACAGAGTTTGTGGGTTCATCGTGGCTTCCTGGTTTGTTTGTTTTTTTGTTGGGCTGACTGCCCGCATCTGAATTCATTTTGCAGCATGCTCAAGTGTGAGACTTAAAGCAAGGTCAGCAAATCGGAAAACACGTTCCACCGTTCCACCATGCCCGAACCACGAGGCCAATATGCAAGAAACCACATGACGTCACATAGATTTGATGGGGACTTAGTCAATTGACGACACAGCAAGTTGTTCGTAGCTGGAGCGGAAACGAAGATGCTTTTTGCTGCTATGGCGGTCGATGTGTGCGCAGGGCCAGAAGGAAAAGAGGCGCCCGGAAGGGCACTCGTGGCTCGGGAAGAACATTCAGCAGGAACTTTTGGACGGAATTAAGATGAACTGATCTCAGATATTTATTGAGAGTACGACGCCCTGGAGGTGTGTGTTTTTTCAGTGCTTTTTGCGTTTTTCTATGATTTTCAATAGATTTTCTATGTTTTCGTTGCATTCACCCATCTGGTACACATCACTTGTGCCCATAGCCTGCTGCCCCTTTGCCATGATCTTATCAACAGATTTCCTCATCAAGCTTTTAAACACATAGCTAAAGTCTGTATTTGTCAATTGCATCATAGCCGTCATCTTTGGAGGAATGATAGACTGTAGCTGATGGGCTGCATACATCTTCTTGTATGTATCATCGCTAAATGAAGCAGCAAAGCAATCCCTCTGATAGATGGATACTGGATACATCCTCCCTTGCTTTGCAATGACCCATGACATAATGATATTGTCCTGATTGGAGGATGGTTGGGAATAAACATCATAGTGCTCCAACAATTGAGGATGACCCCTCCTGATCTTGACCCATTGCTCCAAAGCCCTCCTGGCACTCTCTCCCTTCCTATGCAGCTTGATGTCTCCCAAATAGTTAAATGATTCATCCTCAATCCACCTGCCTTTGTGATCAATGTTGTCCAATCTTGCATGTTGCCCAGGTACTATGAGCGCCCCCTTGCCCACATGTCCAATGGGGTCCTCATCAGGGTTGAGGAAATTGCTCACCAGCTGATGGGCCTCAAAGGTAATCCTCATCTTCTCAGTTGCTGAGTCCGTCATGATAGTCAAATGAGCTCTTCCCCCACCCTTTTGATTCTGAGCGGTCACCAATTGCCAATCTTGCTTCCTCTGATCATCCAATGCCTCAAGGTCCTCATTGGGTTCCTGTCTCATGGGCTTGTTGGTTCAGCTCATCTTGAAGGTCCCTCCCAATCTTTTTGATGGTCTTCCCATGTGTCCTGGTCTCATGGCCTGCAAATACAGCCTTAGTTGATCCCTTTTTCACCCATACAGGAACCTGATCTGAGAATCCAAGCATACATTCAGGCTTTGCCACAAATTCCTTCAGATCTTCATGCCCCATGGGCGCAAGGCTCATGATACAGTCATGGTGGTTCCATGCCAATTCTGCTGAAATCTGCGGCTCCTCATTGCTCAAGGGCGCATATGTTTGGCACCAATAGCATCCATAAGCATCTTGACCCTCTTTTCCCTTTGCTTATACCCCTCTTTGATGCTCTTCATTTGGGATTCAGCCCTTTCCAATTGATTGATACAAAGAATCTTCTGGGGCCCATCTTCCAGCTCATCCCTTTTCTCCTCAAGCTTGACTTTCTTCACTGATAGCAGCTGAAAATATTTCCATGCAAGATCCATCTTCTGCACCCCATGCCCATAACTCCTTTCCCTTTCCAACCATGTCTTAACCTCACCAACCAAGTGGGGGAATTGTTGCTTGGCACCCCCGCCTGATGCACTGACTCTCATGTGGTTCCCACCTAATGCTTTCTTCCCTTTGCTCAATCCACTCCTTTGCGTTCTCTCATCTGCTGTTGTGCTTTGCTGATGCTTCAGAATCTCTGTCTCCCATTTGGATCTTTCAGCATAAATCCCCTTCAACACATGAGGTCTCATCAGGATTGTCCTATTCCATTTCGTTGCGCATTTTCCTTTCTGATTCTTGAGTATGCTCTCCGTTTCGGGGGGGGGGTTGACCAAAAAAAATGGTGCTGCCTCAAATCAAGGCCACCATTTTTTTTTGGGGGGGGGGGGCCGCCCCCCCCCCTCTGGGAAACTGTGCGGTCCATGTCGGCGACGCTGGCGACATTGCGATGTCTATGCGATGTTTGCTACTGTGATGTGGCGCGTGATGTGACAGTATCCTCCTACATTTTATCCTTAAATAAGAATACCTCCAGCGCATAGATAGTAAATTCGTAAGAAGACTAGAACACTGGGAAAACAGACACCTCCACAACGTCGTGTTCTGTATTTATTTGCTGTATCAAGCCTGGCATTTTCAAGGTCAGGGTGGCCGGCGGCCTGCGGAGCAGAAACTGCTCAGCTTTGACTTATGTGTTGAGAAGACCTCGGCTCAGGAAAGGCTGCGATTTCAATCGGTTGCCAATGACTGACCAAGCTACTCACACAATTTAACCGAACATCACATAAGCTTCCCGTCTCCCGTCGACTTGGTATGTGCCGCTAAGGATGAATAAACATAACAAACGCACAAGTTGATACATTTTGTGCGGTGTGGACGCAGAGCGGTCCCCAAGTTCTATCGAAACCACTAAGCTATTAGGACAGAAGCGATTAAGATGCCAGAAAAAGATACTATTAAAGACGTCAAGCAAACTCTTAGGAAAAGTTAGCAAGGTTTTTGCACATGAGCAACTACACACTAATTAGTTTTCACCTAAACTCCAGGTCTGGTGAAGCCAAAGTGATTGTGTTTGTCATTGAAGCCACCACCCCTGCACATGCAAAGAACATGTGGCTGATTCTCAGATGAGCCTGGTACTGCAACAGGTTAGGAGGTAGACACTCTTTCACTGCCTCGGAAGTCGAGCTCAATCGTGTGTGCTCCTTTGGAGTTGGCCAACGACCTGCATGATGCCACCTGCCAGCCAAAATGATATATATAGGTATACATACGTGCGCACTGCCCTAATACAGGGAACTTGGAAACTTATTGCATCACACGGAAGGCGTCTCGGAATCTGCTGCTACCGTTTTGGAGGTGTTTGTTGTATCAGTGTTTTTTGTTTTATTGTCGGTCGTTTTTCCCCCAAGGTTTTTCACCATTGTTGGGAGCCTGGAGGATCTGAATGAGGATGCGCAGCAGAACTTTCAGCCAAAGCTCTTGACCTTCGTCTTGAAGACCTTAGTCAAAGCTCCTGACTTGGAAGCTGCAACCTCTTTGGTCCCGAGCCCTTTGAAAGCGAAATTGGAGGCCTGGTCTCCAGCGGGGCCTGAGGTATAATTACTATGCCTGGTTTTTGCATGAGCGGGAATACTAGGGCGCGGCACACAGTTCACAATGAGCAGGAATACTAGGTTGCTGCCTGACACCAAGAAGCCTCGCAAGAGAAGAAAGCCCTAAACAGCCCTCCTTCGAAAACCACAAACCTTTACTGTAGAAGCCTTCAACTGTTTATCATGAAATGGAACTTGTGCTAGGTCGTGTGTACTTCAATGTTGTTGGCATCCACTTTCGATTACGAGAGTTTCAAACAAGAGCAGGACGCCTGTGTCAACCCATAATTCTCTGTAAGATTAACATCCACGAATAGCATATGAATGATTCTTGTTCCTGCTCTTGAGCAAATATTCAAAAGCAGTGCTCGGGTTGTTTGCGATCCTATGTGAGACATATTCAATGAAGGCCTTGCTATGACCGCTCTTCACTTGTCGTTTTACTGAGATGACCTGACATTCCTTCCTTGTTGCTTTCCCCTGGCTGGCTAGTAATTAATTGCTTATACCGTTACTGGTCTATTCTCAATTTTTCCTCTTGCGTGATCTTTGCTTTGTTGTGCTGGCCTTTGTCTATGCCACATGCAGCCTCACTTGGGTTTCAATCAGTGAACAGTTACCCGTTGCGGTGGGCAATGTTGCATCCGATCACATATATATATATATGTTTGTGTGTGCCTAGCATAGATGCACCTTTGACAATTTGAAGCAGTTTTAGAACCTGTTGGTATTTATCATTTAGCCGTGCTTCCAGTCAAGGTTACAGAGCCAGCATGAGCACATGCGGAAGCGTGGGCCGCTGGCAGCAAGCATGGAACCTTTTGAGCTACAGCCTGCGATTGGAGCTACGTGTGAATTAGCATTCTGGCAGCAAAGCCGGTGAGGGCTTCAACGTGCATCAAGACAAGAATTTCATCACTGAAGTACTGGGTTCGTTGACACCTTGGTTTACACATCCAGATGAGCATAAATATATATATATATAATTATATACAAGTGACATATAAATACACTACATACAAGATTTAATATCTGGTTTGGATTGATGTCGTGCTTGCAATGCGATTTCTCCGGAGATTCCTGCGCCCACCTTGCTATTGAGGATTACGTACAACTTGGCCATCAGTGCATGCGACCTTTTCGGTTGACCTCAGGAGAAAATGGCACATGAGCCAACATTGAAAGCACTGACGAAAGTGAAATGCACATTGGGCATGGGTTGGCGCTGCAATTTTATGTTGATATGCGCATTCTGTGCAGTTTTCGGATGAATATGAGTATGAGCCACTGGCCAGCATGTAGTATAAGAGTATGAAGCCACTCAAGATACAGAACCATCCTCGTAGAAGTTCCAGATGGCTTGATAAAGGTTGATAGATGCTTGCTTTGTTCCTAGTTTGTTTCCATTCTTCACCTCACTGGAGCAGATTCACCAGTTGTGTTTAAATGCAGCGCAGTCACAACAAGCAGAATGAGTCATGAGCCTTGTTGGGCGGGCTTGCACCACTGGTGCAATTGTCCTGGTTGGAAGCTTAGTTGAAGGGCGGTGGGCAGCACCGTGGCCTGCCCTGGGGTCCAGAACATTTGGATGCCCAAAAGCAAACACGACTGCCACTCAAATCGCCTCTTATGCACCCCCTCCACCTTTTGCAACATTTGACCAGCTGAGGCTACGCTTGTTTGGCATTTGGGTCAGCCAGTTGAGTGCCAACTTGACTAGGTCGCACCAGGCCATGCAATAGATAGAGCAGTCCCATATTCGAGGTACACCTTCCTACTTGCAACCTTCGAGGATGCAGAGGCAGCCAGCTGTGTGAAGGTCAAGCTATACAACTGGCATGGTGTCAAGGCATACCAGAAGCATTTTTGCAATTCAAAGCTGTTACTTGGTGCCGGCTCGCAGGACTCTGCCCTATCGGCAGCAGAGGTTTGTGAGTGGTTGCCGTGTGTCACCTTGCTGCCCTGTGGGCCAAGTCGGATTTGTCACGCATTCCACAATTTCCTGCATCGGAGGCATTTCGGAACGCAGCTCTTCCGTTCTGTGCCTAACCGGGCAGATTGGAGAAGGTCAATTGTTGGTGATCAGTGATCATCACACTAACGCTTACCCATGGAAGGCGGCACAAAGAACCAAAAAATCGATGGCCTTCCGTTTCTTCATTTGTTTTGATGTCAGAGGCCAGAACTGCTTCGCAAGCTCAAGGGTCCTGTTTGGACCAGTGATGCCAAAGGAGAAGGCTGGGGCCTTTTGGGAGACTGAAGAGACGATTCAGTGCATGCGTGGGGAAGCCTTGATAGATTTCTTGAGACTTTGGACGCCTGAGCCCTTCTGGGTTTTGACAGTAGTCGCCCTCCTTTTGGATGGGCGCCTGGAAGACTGGCTGCGGAATCCGCAGTATGTCCTGGAGGCCGTGCAGCTACCAGTGCCATACGTCCATAGTGTCCATCACAGCTGACAATGTCGTTCATGTACACGAGGACGTGACACGCCGAACTGCACAGATGAGATACGGTACCTTTGAGGCAGGCACAACTCTGCCAAGCACCATGTCATGCAGTTTGTTTTTTGCCAGGACGTTTGCTGCTTTGGGACTGGACACCTGGTACGAATGGCAAAGCGCTTGCAGCGGTACTGGAATGATTGGGTGCGCCAATTCTCAAACCTGCATGGAATATGTGCGCAACTGGAACCATCCATCCTCTTGCCTCCTTTCCATGCAGGTGGCCCGCACCTGGACTGCCAACGTTCAATTCTCACAGGACATTTGGCGAAGACGTTGAAACTGTTCGAAGATTTGCATCCGCAGAAGGATTTGCTGAATTTGTCCATTTTGCCTGGGCTTTTTCGGTACAGCTTGCAGGTATTCGATTCAATGTGTGGAAGTAAGACTCTAAGCTTCCTTCAGATTCCTAGTATGAAAAGTGCAAAGTAAGGTCCGGTCTAAACATACGCATTGCCGGGCTATGTCTATAAATGTCTACTGTATATATAATAAAGATGTTCAAAGTAAATGTTCATTTGCGCGGAGTTGTTCAAACGAAACTGACACTCGAGTTGCAGCTTGCTGCCTTCCAAATATTGCAAGCCGAGCGTGCCCCTTGAGCAATGAGTGATGCGGTGCAAAAGCCGCAAACTTGTCCAGCGCCCAGCGCCGCTTGCATTTCCTGCCGTGTACAGCTAAAGATGAGCTGAGATCGCTCAAGTAAGGCCAAGATTAGACCGGCCTGGCAACGCAACGACCTTGGGCGTTGTAGGTTCAAGAGCGTCCATAGTTTGGTTGGGTGATAGTGCAATTGAAGCTAGGAACTATTCAAGAACAACCCACCGGCCTGAAATGGGTGAAACCTGGTGAAACGCATGGCACATCCATGCACATCCTGGTGCCGTTTGCCGTACTGGCTCACAAGATGCCTCCATTGAGCCCTGGGGATGTAGGCAATATGCCTGCCCCAGAGCGACTAGGTGACCAGTGACTGGTCGCTTGTTTGCACCTGCGTGTCACAAAACCTGCTTGTTTTCACAGTGCATCGGTCTCGTCGTCGGGCCGCCAAGGTGAATGGAGGGCACCAACGCCATTCGGTGTCACTTGGCTGAGCCGAGTATGCCTTGCGTGTTCTTTGGGTCCGACAGGCTAAGGCTTAGGATGAGCGCTTTTTGGAAGTCTCTGGCATGCTGTGTTCACATAGCACATTGTTATTTGGGGGGCCCTGCACACACCTCATCCTCATTCCCCAAACAGCTTTGCTGTGAGGGGTTCTGAATTCTTGCATAGAAACGATCTTGGGCCAAAATGATTCTGCTGTACCTTCTCTTGTCTCCCTTTGTCACCCATGGCTCTTCTTAGATGCTGGGCTGAGATGATTTTGCTTTGCCTCCCTTTGTCTCTCATGGTTCTTCTCCAGCCCTTGTAGATGCTGGGGCATGATTCTGCTTTGTCTCCTGCTGTTGCCTCCTTGGTTTCCCATGACTCAAAACTGGCAGCAACTTTAAGATTCGCCGGCAAAAAGAAACATCAAGCTGCCGCTGCTGTTTGGGGGCGATGCTTGTGCAACTCCCCACCTGCCAGGTGAGGGTTGTTAGACTTTATATTGATTTTATGACAGCTGCCCTCTCCTGCACCTCTTCTCCTCGTTGCCGCCTCCACAAGTACCAGATTGCAGTGAGCACCGCCGGACCTGAACCAGAGAGAAAGGATGTCAGCAGCTTTGCCAGGTAGAAGAATGCCAGAATATATGCTTTATGGAGTGCCAGACAAATATGCCAGATATACTGTCATAATTTTAAAAAAACAAGCATGTAAGAAACTGCCACATAGAATGCACGAATCTATGCCAGATAGAATTCCAGGACATGTGCCAGAGAGAATATTATCAGAATGAATGCCAGGTATAATGTCAGAAAATATGCCAGATAGAATGCCTGAACACACACCAGGTAGAATGCCAGCCTTTGCAAGATAGACACCATCTTGGTGATATTGAAGCAATATATGGTGATGTATGGTGATGTTGAAGCGAAGCAATATAGCTGTCGGTTAGCCGTTGGTTATTAGCAAGGTAGAATGCCATGGTGGGAATCGCTCCGAGTTCACCACCTTGTCAATGTTTTCGCAACACTGTCATTTCCGCAACGTTGTCATTGAAGAGTCGTGTGATTACATTGGGGTGGGGTTGGGTGGCCACCATAGCAGATGCAAAACATGGTCACCCGCTGTGCAGCACAACTAGGCGGAGGTGGCTGTGAGTCGTGTTAAGACAGGCCGCAAGAATCCCCCAGTTTGGCCAGCGCCCGGAAAACAAAAGCCAGCAAGCTGGGCTAGCTTTGGTCGAGAAGGAATCTGGATCTTTAAATTTAGGGTAATGTACTCAATTATATATATTGGTTTTTGACGCGTTACCTGTAACAGTCAGTAGTAAGCCGTTACCACTATTTTCGCGAAAGGCTTTTACTGACCATCATCACCCACTGTTACTGGCAATGGGATACTGTATTTAAAACCAACCAACCAAACAAACACACATACATAAATACATACATACACAAACAAAGACAAAACCGGCCTGGGTGCGAGAAAAGGCAGCCTGTCCGAAACCCGGCGTTGGGCAATGAAGTTTGCATGTGAAACGTCGCTGCTACTAATGGGTCAGCCCTAACCCCGCCGAAGCGTGGTTTTCGGATGACTTGACAGACCTCACGCCAAGTTGCCCTCCGCAAGTGGGATGAAGACTCCTTGCTGCGTGCATGGTTTGACCATTTCGACACTTAGCTGCGAATAGCAGGCAATTGCGGTGTGTAACCATGCGTTGGTGACTATTCTCTCCACATTTCAGTCCTGGTGTTTCTACCATAGACTGAACTCATCGACTTGTGTTTCATCCAAGGATGATGATCGCAATGGTTTCTTAGCCGCCTGGTTTGCACAGGAAACCGGGACGGTTTGCACAGACGTGGTTCAAAGGGACGTCGCCCAGGGCCGAGAACGACCGAGGAAAAGGATGACTTTTTGTTGGTCAGCGACCAGATCACTCGTGGAGACCCGTGGCTATGTTGCAATTGGTGAGCATATGTAAGCCATTGTAAGCCCTCATATGTTGTACCTGGCATTATGCCTATATATATAATATATGTATATATTATGTGCAAGCACGGTTCAAGGATCAAGTGAGTTCTCTTGGATTACACTGGGTTTGTGAATGCTTTTTCGATATGTTCGATGCAACGCGGCGTTTTTGTGATCCTTGGGCACCGCTTCTCCAGCCTCCAGGTATGAGCTGTGGGCCAACCTTGACTATGACAAGACAGGATACGTCAGCCTTCGGGAGATCAGTGAGGCCTGCACACTGACTTCGGCAGTTCACAAACGTGCCAACTCTCCCAAGCTGTTCGAAGCTGATTCCGAGGAAGATGCTCGTTTGTGGTTTGACTTTAAAGCTTGGTGTGGATCCACCTTCAATGGCACGTTCCTGAACTGCAGAAGAAGCTTTGGTGGCTTTGTTTTGAGGCTTTTGTGGGCTTTCAGATATACTTTTTCTCTTCAATCGCTCAGGAAGGACATGATGCTGCAGATCCTGGGTACCGGTGCTGAGGAACAAAGGCAGAAGCCAAATACTCGCAGTGTCTTGGCTTCACGGCCGCCCAATCGAACTAAACTTTGCAGCTTTGGCTCATTTTGGCTCGATGTACACAGCCCGTCACCGCTTTCACACCTGAGGAAAGCTCTTCGGCTTCAGGACGGGTGGAACCTCCTTGTCCCAACTCACTGGCATGATTCATACACTTGATGTGCAATGCTTAGGAGTATGAATTTATTGAAAGACTTAATTTAATCCCTTGTTTTCGGATGTGTTCGGGATTCTAGATGAAATGATGTCTCTCCCTCGGATTCGGTTTTCCCCCACAGCATGCAAATGTGACAACCTGAACGTGCTCAGCTCTCAGCTTCCTGAGTGCGTGCAGGGGTCCTGCGAGACCACGAACTAGCACCAGCGCAGTGCCACATTCGCTGGCAGGAGGCCACGTGCAACAGGGAACTGGCGGGGAGGGTGGTGGAAACATGTGGAAGCGCTCGAGAGTCACTAGAGTTTAGTTGAGTGGTGTATTCTGTAAGCTGTTTGATAGAGCACCTAGTCAACTGTTCAAAGTTGTCACAGAACCCCTTCCCTTGTATACTCATAGGAGCAAGGACGCTACTAGGGGCTCCTGGCCTTACTACTAGGAACAAGAAGCTACTAGGGGCTCCTGGCACACCATCGCGATCGGTCCACGAGTCGCAACTACGCCCACTCTGGAGCATAGCGAGTGAAAAGGATCAAAAAGGAGTGACCAACGGCCACAGGATCACCGCGCGAGCGGACAACCCCCAAAAAGGAAGCTAATTATGCACCACCGGCAGCAAGATGTCCCAAGTGGACAAAGCGCGTGCAGCTCCGACATCAAACAAATGTACCAATTGTTTCCGTTCATCATCGGTCATGTAGACCGCAGCACCAGAAATAATGCCCTTAGGGAGGGCACGCCCAGCGTGCTTGGATTCCGTCGCAACAAGATCACCTGGAAAAATCTGACCATGTTCAATGTCACAGGCAAACCTGAGCATAGATCGGAATGTCAAGATCAAGTGGTGATAGAAGCTTACTCCTGCTTCCAACTGTGAGTGGCGATGTCCACGCCACCAGAAGAGGCAAGCGAGCTCCGTTGTAGCAACACAAGATTGCATGTCGACCCTCCAACGGAGATTGTTGAGAAAATCCATACATTCCCGCCAGTCATCGTCAGTTTGGGTCCACCTTGCTGGAGGTAACTGGTGTGCAAATATCTTGGGTTTCCATGGAAACGCTGACTTTGGAGTGGCCCACTCCCACTGTGGAAATCGAGACACAATGGAGGCCGGCGAATCGACCGATGCCTTGTGGCCTTTTGAGACCGTTGGTGATGGCTGTGTAGTATCCAGCAGCCAATTCAACATGACCAGCCATTCGTGTCGATGAAGAACGGCACTCTCCACCATACGCTGATCCCGTGGATGAATGGGAGAAAGGACCGTGGCAAGACGGTTCGCTTCTTTGTCTGCCACTCTGTTGGCAAGAATGTCGCGGGCTGTAGAACCACACTTTCGTGCAGCTGCTTCCGATATAAGTTCCCCGGGCAGATGTTCCAGTAGATGGCTTGGTGTCCACAACACTTCAATGGGTGTAGCGCATTGGTCCTGCCGTTGCAGCAACACGCGGCAAATTTCCAACCACCACGGTCGGTGCGACCA